GTAATAGCGCTAAGGAGAATTCATCATCTCATTCGTAAGCGGTGACTATGGAAAATAACATAACGATGGATTATCATCATTGTCATAACAGCTTATCAAAAGTCTACTGCTAAATCTACAGCATTTTGTATGCAATCAGACGATCGTTTCAGCGTCTGACTCCAGATACATTGCTCAAGGTTTATAAAACATACCTCCGACCACTGATAGAGTATGGATTTCAGATTTGGAACCCCTATTTTTTTAATGATGTAGATTTGCTGGAGAGTGCACAAAGAAGAGCCACAAAAATTCCATTGTGCCTTCGCAAAAAGCCATACGAAGAGAGATTAAAAATATTGAATCTAACAACGCTGAAATCTCGCCGTACCAGAGGAGACCTTATTGAGACCTACTAAATATTGACACATAAATATAATTGCAAAGAGCTGCAACATATTTTTAACATAAGCAGTATCCATTGACCTAGACATCCTAACTATATGAGACTGGCACACCCACTCATACACTAATGTGGGACATCACACACTAAACAACAGAATCATAAATATATGGAACAAGTTGCCTCAAGACGTGGTAGATGCTCCCCCTGTGATTAGTTTTAAAAACAAACTGGACAAATGGTGTGAAGACAATCCAATTTAGTGTATTCTTAGTGTGAACTTGGACTAATATAAAACACCAATACAGATATAGGCATATCAGCTTTAAGCTGCTCGCCTATTACCAGATAATAATAATAATAATAATAATAAATATAGGCCTCCCCTATAGATTGCATTTCCTATTTGCCATAGTTACCACGCTTGGCAAGCTGGGAGCTGGGAGGCAACTGCACTTTTTTATTATTTAACGTTATTAGCAGGAACATGCTGCTACCATCTGTTAATTTTCATTCTAACGATAACTGTACTATAAATAAAGATACCATAATCTCCGATAGCCTTCGGATTACTTCGTTTACATGCTTAATATGAAACACCTAGAACTAGACTGACGAGTTAACAGCGGCAAGGGCGCTGAATTTTCTATCGTATAAAATTCGTATCGCAGTCGAGTGATCTTGTATTAAAGTCTATTCGCTTAGATAACGTCTCCTTTTAACTTGTCAAAAGCGCCGCCGCCAAAATCAAAGGTCGCCGCGTGCGGCGTACAACTGCAGGAAAATTTGTCACTAAAACCAAGCGCCGCACCGTAGTGATATAGGTTTTTCGCTACCTAACTTGTGTTTGTTATTTACATATATTCGTATTTTATTACAATAACCTTAATATTACTCTATTTTATATCTACCGACTTCAAAAAGAAGACGGTACTCAATTCAACTGCATGTTTTTTAATGTGTGTTACCTCATAACTTTTTACTAGGTAAACCGATTTTGATCATTCTTTTTTTTTGAAAGCTGGTGATTCACATGTGGTCAAATATAAATCATATGATCAAGGTCAGACCAATAGTTTTTGAGTTATTCTTAATAATTTATATTGAAGTCGGTTGTACAAAATTTTTAATTATATAATATAATAAATAAATATAGAATAGAAAATCATCTATTTAACAAACATCGTAATAAATAATAAAATGAAAGCAAAATGGTAAGTGCGCCTCCGGGTACCGACACTATCTTAGCGAACAGACTATAAAAAACGTAGTAGCACTTAATATGTCCTCCAAGGGCGCTCTTTTACAAACCATAGTTTCATTAACGTTCCTCAGTCCCCTTATAATGTCCATTGCCCATACGATTTCATTAATTGACGATACGAAATCGTTAGTGTCGAAAATTTGTCTTAAGGGCACAGATACTGCGATCACCAATCCGCCAGCCAAATGTAGAAATTATGGCAAATTCTCCATAGTGTTCAATATGCCCATGTCTAGCAGTTGATTATTTACAGACTCACAAAAATGAAGTAAGCTAACGTGAGAAGTAGTTGTCTTTGGATTCCTATTTACTGAAAGTATTTGAAATAATGTTACGTATTGGAGAAATGATATAAATATCTTAATTTTTTTATAGGATAGGGTGACAAACGAGCTCACAGTCCACCTGATGCTAAGTGGTTGCTGTGGCCCATAGACATCTACATTTATCCTCGTTTGCGAATCAAAATGCAGATGCGTTGTCATCCGTGAGGACTAAGATAGAATGCCTTCTTTCCAGTAAAAAGGGTCTCCGGTTCTCTACACTCACCATACGGAACACAGCAGCATGAAGCTGCTATTTGACGCTGGTATTCTGTGAGAGCGTGGTCGTTCCCCGGTCGAGCCGACCCATTCGTGCTACAACTATACTACTAATATAGCTGCAGCATGGCTCTACCACGTAAAAAATGTGTTTTATTAACTTTACATTTAGACGTCATTGTAAGATCTATTATAGCCAGTATTTAGAACTCCAAATTTTTAATTTCAAATTAAAAAACAGTATTTCAACACGTATTGTACGAGGCTCATAGAATACGAATCTACTGTTTAACAAATCCACTTCGCTCATGGTGCGAACTAAGGGGTGGTAGATTTTACGCCGCTACCATACGGCGATAAGCCGAGTCTGTCGTTTCGGCTTTGTCGCTCGTTTAGCACCACCCGGGGGACACGTGTAGGGTGGGCCTAGCATTAGGTGGTCGAAGCCTACGGACGCGAGCGACTCATCAGAAGTGTGTCAGGATCGCGCCAAATGGAAGTCCGTAGTCTCTGCCTACCCCTCTGGGTGACAGGCGTGAGTGTTTATGTTATGTATATGTTTTCTTATGTTTAACAAAGACTACTACCACCATGAGTTTACAACATAACAATAAAAATAAATATTTATATTATATTTAAAACTCACGACTAATAGGCATAAATTAGTTTTTATTTATCAAACCTAGCACTTCTTATTAGTTTGTGTATCTAACAAACTCTAACGTTTTGGAGATGCGACATGGACTATGGAGTTATAAATGCCTTTACAGCGTTGAGTTTAATATTTTAACCAGATCTTAGGGTTTGGTGGTACCAAACCCTAAGATCTGGTAATTGGCCTGCAAAGCATCAATCACATTATTAAACCTAATCTTAATACTTCATACCGCCATCTATCGATGTTTTCTTGAACTAACTCGTGATTCTAGGCCTTCGATATCGTTCATTGTGTTGACAAACTGACACGCTTATAAAGTTACATTGAGTTACCAATAAGAGGCGCTAAAAAGATGTTTAGGTTCAGTTTGTATGGCGTCGTGTAACGGTGGCGACCAAAGAGAATTCAAAAGAATCCACTATTCTATAAAATTACTCTGGAGATGCCGTAAGAGTCAACAGGAAGAAACTGAAACAGGAGATGGGTAACCGTATCTTCCTGAAAACGACAAAAAGTAATAAAAAAACTGCAATTGCCGACCCATCTGCCAATCCCATTTCAACGAGTCGATCTATGAGGGAAGGCCTACGAGTACGCTCAGCAGTGATATTGAGAAGATATATTTTAAAATATATTCTAAAACAAGCTTTATATATGCGTCGCAAAGGTCAGTATCCGAGTCTATCATTAGGACCGCTTCATGGATCTGATGATGGATGCAAATATTATTTGAATATTTTTGCAAGTCCTATTGACCTATTTTAATATTTTGTAATGTATTCAGAATTATGAATACTATTATATAAAGAACCAGCTTTTTGTCGCAGCTTAGCTAACTTACCAACATTATTTAGTGTTCATACCAAAATTTGGGAACATCTAGTTGTCAATCTGTATGTTTATCTGTATCTCACAAACTTTCTTTAGTTCTGAGAGTTGGTTACAACAAGTCGTTCAGAATTTATACGACTGCAATGAATATAATGCAAGGTAACTTATTCATTATAAAAACAGTATTTAAAGTATAATATATTATACATAAAAAGTGGAAATAAGGTTGGTTGTTACATAATTATAATCATGATTTCTCCGTTATAATACTCGGTTGATTTACTTGAAAGTCTCCAGTTTCTTAATAAGATTTTTATCCCGTGGCCTGAACCTGGGTATATTGTGACGAACCCTTATCTTATCTTTATTATTACCCTTAACTTTACATTCAAAGTTACAAACGTGCTTACCTCCTGAAAAAGGTTTCTGCTACAGGCACAGGCGATGGGATCCTCTGAGGAATAAGCTGGAATGGATACTGGCTTTCCATACCCTTAATACACTGCTCCTTTGGAGTGTGGTATCAAGCCAGATGAATTTCTGGGCAGAAGTGAGGTCCTATCAGCCTACCAGCTAGGTGTTTAATCTAATAAATGGAGCATTCGTGCTAATCATCGACCTTAAAACTATAGTAAAGCAGTTAAAAGTATCAAAACACCAATGCGAAAAGGCTCTTATTTAGATATAGGGCCTCACTATATTCAATGATATGTTTGAATAATTTCATCAGTATAAAATAAAAAAAATATTGGGAAGACCAAGGAATTAATGAAAATTTCATACAATATTTACTAATTTTATTGACACGTTATAAAATTTTAAAACAATTAACTTACACCTAAAATTATATAACAAATTAACATACAAGTCTATATTTAGATGAATTCACTAATAAACTCGTTAAGGAATAGTTCAGGTACCACGTGAAAATAATAAAAAAACAATAAATAAAGAAATTAAGAAACAAGACGAGATCGGGAATATGGACTTTACATACTATAGAAATATGATCTCTAAAACTTTTACGAATTTAATAACAACATTTCTAAACCTTGAGTTATTGAAGTACATAGGACATATTCAACACATAATTATGTCCTTATACATATAAGTTATATAAAGGCTTCGTTTACAATTTCAACAAAATGAAAACACTATGACAAATCACCTTGACAAAAAATCTTAAAATTTTGATAAATGGATGTACTATTTTTACACAGTCTTAATTTAATGTAGCGATAGAACGGCGTCCTGCATAGACAATTTTCATATTTTGTAAGGTCAATAAATGCTTTTTGAATGTGTAAACGACGTCGTATATAGCTAATGTCCAGAAAATTTAATGTGAGCTTCTTGGGGTGTTATGGGAGCAGTCTTATGAACCACTGCATTGAAACCGTTATGCTTGTCAGCGGTGTAGTCCACGGTTCTAATTGAGCCGTCAGGTTCCACCACAGTGTATTGACCTATTAAATTAAAGTTTAGTCATAACTAACTAACATAGTAGATGGAGTGAAATCTTGGGCATGGAAGAATTTGATGGATGCAGGTGACTCAGGACCTTGTTTTGTGGCATATCAAGGCTTATGTTCAGCAGTGGACTTGCGAAGAGCGGTAATGATGTGATGAAAGCACAGTAGATGTCTTCTTAGGTATTATCTTTGCTATAATGACGCATCCTTCTATCGGATAAACTCATTGGTCTATCGCACTAATCTAATGTTATAGACTGATATAATAGCGTCCTGCTGACTATATACGAGTATATCAAAAACCGACGTGTCCAATAAGAGAATCGATCTCCGCATCTAATTCCATTAGTGTAGTAAAATTAACTATGTATAATGCCATCAATATTTTATTGCTTTCCATACACAATAAAAACAGATGATAGAGACAAATAGATGTAGATTAAGCACTCGCACACAATTTTCAAGTAGACGAGCAACGCCAGTTTGAACCCCGTCGGCACCAATGACATTGTTAGTTGCAATTTTAAGTAGTGATTTACCGCGTATTCAGTAGTAACATTGTGAGGATACCAGCATGCTTGAGGAATAAAAATATCGACATGTGGACTTTACATGTCCTCGAAATATACCAATCCGTGCTGAAACGGCCCAATGGAATAAAAAAAGTGAGAGAATGTCTGTGCCTCAGAATACTTTTAATATTTGTGCCCAGCAGTGAAATGTATAAAGGCTGTTACTTCCCTTTTTTTCCTGAATGTCGGATTTATGAACGATTACCCCGTACTCACAACGCTAGACACCTTGCTACCTAGCGACCTTTTAATATCCATAATATGTTAGATGAATTTGTAAAAGCCAAAAGCTAAAAAGCAAAAACATCACAGAATAAAGATCACAACGCCGAGCAAGGCGAGTTGGTGCGCAGCGCAAGGTTTTTTTTATAGGAGAGGGGGCAAACGAGCATGCGGCTCACCTGATGGTAAGTGACTACCGCCGCCCATGAACAACCGCAACACCAGGGGAATTGCAGATGCGTTGCCGGCCTTTTAAAAAGGAGTAGGCTCTTTTCTTGAAGGTCCCTAAGTCTGATACTCTTGCATTGGTACACAAAGTTGCTGTCCATCACCTGTCTGTTAAGCCACATAGCAGGATGGAACACCTACTCGTATGCTCGGTATTTGAGAAAGACAATTACTTGATGAAAATGTTTTATTTTTAAGTCTATTTCTAATTACCTTTTACAACATCACCGTCACGGGTTTCATGATGTGTCTTGATGTCGCCGGTGTGAAAATCATTAACTCCATATTCAAACGCATACTTGGGATACGCCTGCAATTAAAAATATGTAAGCACTGTCATAGAACAAAATTATCTTTAAAATATTTAGTCCATAAATCTACCTAAATAAGGTGGAATTATTTATAAGATTTTTTTTATAAAAGTATAGGTTTTTTACAAACGCAACACAAGCTTACAGGTGTTCTACGAAAACAAGGTCCTTCCCCAGTCGAGCGGACACATTCGTAATGCAGTCATAATACAGTTGCAGTATGTCTCTATCACAAACGATCGTAACGTAAGTTATCACAAAAACCGGCAAAGTGCGAGTTGGACTCGCGCACCGAGGGTTCCGAACAAATCTGTAGGTATATAAGTTTAAAATTATTAAAAATATTTTTATTTTATGATGTAACTAAAAATTTATGCTTTTCGAAATTTTTCCTTTATTTGTGCTATAAAACGTTGCTTCATACCAAATTTCAAGATTCTGAGTTCACGGGAAGTACCCTGTAGGTTTTGATTCCCTTGCGAATGTCCAAAATTTACGGCATAAACGGCTGTATCTTTTGATTGCATTGGCTTAGAAGTTTGATGATTTTTTACAGCTCTAAGGGACATTAGACTTGAGTATTTGATATGAATTTCAGCTTGATACCTCTACGAGTTCCTGAGAAAAAGGGTCTTGACAGACAGAGAGACAGACAGACAGACAGACAGACAGATAGACAGACAGACAGACAAACAGACGGACAACAAAGTGATCCTATAAGGGTTCCGTTTTTTCCTTTTGAGGTACGGAACCCTAAAAATGTCAAACTTCTTTTTTATTCTTTCATACAGCCTATAAAATTTGTTACAGTTGGACTTCCGCGTAAAAGATTTTGCCATAAGATATAGCTATCTTAAAAAGAAACAATACAAGATTTTTAATAATATTTTTATCACAACTTTACATCCAGATCTGATCTAAAAACCGTACAAATTATTTTATTATAGATACTTAGTTAAAGAAAGCCGTGGTAGCTCAGACGGTTAGCGCTCGATGTAAATTTCACAGCAATTCAGATCCCTGCCGGCACAAATGAAATTGTTAATTGCAATTTTAAGTGCTGATTTACCACGTGCTTGGCGGTAAAGGAAAACATCGTGAGGAAAACTGCATGTCTGACAAATAAGAAAAAAAATTCGAAGACATGTGAAGTTCGCCAACATGCATTGGGGCAGCACGGTGGACATTTCCTTGCCTTAAAATCCTCTCAGATATAAGGGAAGGCCTGTGCCCAACAGTGGGACGTATTATAGGCTGTAACTTTAACTTATGATCTGATCTTGTGATTGTTTTATATGTCATCACTCATTTCTATGAGCGATTTATGATCGAGTTCGAGCAACTTCATTTTCTGAAATTTTAATTATCGTTTGCTCAGGACAAGATATACCCACAACTGTACGAACAAAATATAAGAAGCCCTTACTCATACTTCCACTGAAATAGTATATAGAGTACTATGCTCGCATGCAGCGATAGAAGCACGAAGAACATTATCGCACATTTAAAACTTAAAATACCGGAATGCCTATTATATGTATATGTACCTATATGTATATGTATTTGTATCTATATGTATTTGTACTATTGTTGGTTTCACAAAAGTATCAAACCAAAGGTAAGCTATGGTAGATGACAGCTTAAATAAGCTATATATAATAGTAAGCGAATCAAACTCTCAGAAGTTAATTTTTTTTTTTATAGAAGAGGGGGTAAACGAGCATGCGGCTCACCTGATGGTAAGTGACTACCGTCGCCCATGAACAACCGCAACACTAGGGGGATTGCTGATGCGTTGCCCGCCTTAATTTCTGAATAGGCCCTACTATATTAAATTGTTAGTTGCAAATTTAAATGATGATTTAAATTTGTAAACATAGCGAGGAAACCTGTATATGAGAGGCCTATAATATTTTGATAAGATGTGAAATCAGCTAACAGAGATGGAAAAATGAAGAGGCATGTGACCTGCAGTGAGATGTGTTCGTATATAGTCTGCAACTTTACTCTACTTAACTTAGCAAATGCGGCAGCAAACGAACGAAGCAAAATATGTGCATACAAATTTCTTTAAAAACCTCTCGCGCAACTTAGCTTCCAATGGAAACAGCGATAAGACTTACGTGCACTTACGCAACGGCATTTCCTTTAACACGCTGTTATCAAGTAAATAACGGTGAGCGGTAAAAATGTTACCTAAGTTATATTACCTAAGCTTTAAATGTAGAAATTTTAGTTAACATACCATACATAATAGGTGTGTGAAAACCGAGATGGAAGAATTACTTATTCATTGTTTACAATGTATAAAAACAGAAAAAAAAAACACGAGTAAAACACTGGCACAAAGTAGGTTTTATTAAAACAAAACAATTGATAAGATTTCAGAAAATAAATAGAAACAGAAAGAAGGTTGGCCAAATCGTACCAGACGATGAAACGATGGCGTCACTATATGAAATATATATGAAAAATATCCTTATTTTTAAGGTCTTAATAAACACAAAATTTACCTCTCTAAGTAGCTACAAAAAATTTATCCTTTTATTTTTGTGTTTGTAACTGTTGTGATACGTGCTGTACTATTTTAGATTTCCTTCTGTTGTTTTGACCTCGGCATTGTTTTACGGACTGATAACTACCACTTGTAACGATTATTCTGTGCTTTTGATTTCTGGACACCGATTTTGTATCTTGAATATTTGTGACAGACATCATAATTTCTAAGATCCGCGAGTGGAATTCTTCAATAATAGTACATATTTACATACCTACTTATTTTATTACACTAACATAAACCATCATACACAATCGTACATCATAATACAAATCTAATTCTTATTTTAGATCACTGAAGAATATTACATAATTATGTGATGCTAACCTCAAAAGTATTGTTGACGTTTAGATATTGTGGCTATTTAGATATGATTTGGGAAAATCAAAGGGGATGGTGTTTACAACATAAAAACAAACCAATCTAGCTATAGTTTGTTTTGGGACATGGAAAATAAAAGTCAAGTCCAGCTCCTATAGAAATTTGGCCATTGTTCTTTGTCTGCTAAGATGTCTGTTACGGTGTCTATTCGCCTTTTTCAATAGAAGAAGGTTCTCAATTCGACTTTATAATGATCTTTAGTATGTATGTTACGCGGTATACTCGTTAATTGTTGACAGATTTTTATGACTCATTTTTCATTAAAGCGGTTATACTACAGGGGTGTTCTCATATAAGTTTGGAGAAAAGTTTTTCACCCCTAAGAGTAGACAAGTAAGTTTTTTTGTTAATATTTAGGCAATATTCTAGTTGTTACTTTGAGGGAGTGTCTACTAATAAGAATAAAAAGTAAAATAATCTTTAATAGTAAGTGAGTGCCGACGCAACGTAAAAGAACTGAATTCTAGTAGGAGCTCAGTTAGAAGCTGTTATGTAGAAATTATTTTATCCTTTTTATTTCTTCGAAAAAAGCTGTTACTCATTATTTAAATAAAGATGTCCATGCAAATATTTAAAATCATTAACAAATGTCTACAAATCTTGTCCCGCTTTCGCTTATGTTTTGCGCTAAACAATTATTTGAACCTACAATTACATACAACAAACGGAATATTTCACAGGAAGAGCAATTTCGTTTGTGAGGAATCCTTTCGTCACAAAGACGTAAAAAGAGTGTCTTTTACTTGTACCTTGTAGGAATGAGACACGATTGTTGGTAGGTACGAACAAACCCATTGTTCAGAGCAATTAAGGAAATAGCTACAACTGAAACTATAGTTGGATGTATAGAATTATATATTTTTATATAATAGGGTAGGACCCTTTTTACTGAAAACGAGCACACAGTCTACCTGATGGTAAGTGGATGCTGTGACCCATAGACATCTACATTTATCCTCGATTAAGAATTAAAGTGCAGATGCGTTGCTACCCCTGAGGACTAACATGGAATGCCTCGTTTCCAGTAAAAACCCTTTTTAAACTCACCATTCACTCACCTTTCTGGTTCTTTGAACTCACCTTATGAAACACAGCAGTAGTGCTGCAATTTTACGCTGGTATTCTGTGAGAGCGTGGTCCTACCCCGGTCGAGCCAACCCATTCGTGCTACAACCATAATATAGCTGCATCGTGGCTTTACCATGTAAATTATCTCAAGATTACTGCATCTTTTGATTAGAAATTACATCTCGTCGTCAAATATTTCTTTTGAGAGAGAACAGACACCTTCTGAATCGAACGTCCACTCTTCCTGATCTTCTTGAACTGACTGAACTGACTTCCTGAACTTCCTGGTCTTCCTGAACCCAACGTGGTAAGGTTTGACGACTAAGATTACAGGGCCCTAAGGAATAGTCCCGGTCTTGACGTCAGTCATTAGTTGACTGCAGTTCTTCTTGAGCTCTAAGTATTTAGGGTGTACGCCGAGGAATTTTGGAAATAAACATTAATTAATCATGAAAGCCCCCTTTTGAAATGCGATATTGAAATTTTCACTGATTTACTACTTTCCCTATCACTTTCCCTAATTACTTTTCTTTCTTGATTTAAAACTGGAAACTGTAGCTAGTCCCGAAATAAATAATTTATAACCTATCTAAACTATCTAAGACTCCTTGTTTACCGAGGTAACAAACAATGATAGATAACGGGAAACCACAATATAGTCCTTAATACTGTTCGTCATTCAACGAACTATGGAACTATGTTCCGAATATTACAAAAGTAAGGGACCTAATTACCCCGGTGCCCCAATAACATCAAATTGAAACAGACAGATATTTTTGATAAAATGATGGATTTGATTATTTAATTTTTGTGAAACATTGATTCCCAAGTTAAAATGATAATACTAGTAACATATGTACTTTCGTTTACTCTTTAGCTTTACCTATTCAGTTTGCACTGCTCATAATTGCTCTTAAATCTATATGTTTACCCTATAGTGGTAGCGTAAGAGAATCCATTACCGTATGTTATCTCGTTTCTGCCGACTTCCAAAAAGGAGACGGTACTCAATTCGACTGTATGTTTTTTTTATGTGTGTTTTATGTGTGTTACCTCATAACTTTTTACTGGGTGAACCGATTTCAATGATTCTTTTTTTATTTGAAAGCTGATACTTCTCGTGTCCCATATGAATTGATCAAGGTCAGACCAATGGTTTTTGAGTTATTCTTAATAACTTATATTGACGTCGGCTGTACAAAATTTTTAATTTTTAATTATAATGTATTTGTTTTATTATAAACAGACTAACGTTTCAAAAAATGTTTTTTGATCTTAATCATTAGTTTTAAATAAATCAATGTTTTTATAAATAAATTTGCCACGTTGATAAAGCCAATGAACCTTTAATACATATTAATATACTAGATATATACATATCATGGCATATAACGAACATCCGTGCCAATTATGGCCATGGCTGCACTTTATCACTACTGGATATTATTTTTCTTTTCTTTTTTTTTAATATTATTCTTTCACATTAGATTTATATATTACTATTATTTTTTTACATAGACATTGATTTTGCACAGAGGCCTCCGCCCAGCTGAGGGACAGAGTTATATGCTGTAACTTTTAATCGTCAAATGCCACGAGCATCCTTTACTTTTTTACTACATCAAAAAAACTAGAATTTTTTATACGACGTGAAATCTATTGAAAACTTACGTAATAATCGACGTGTTCATCTTCAGATATATGATGGTGATCGAAGTTATGTTGGGGTTGCGAGTGGAATAGGCTCTGTGCTTCTTCGACTTGAAAGTCTACTGGATGCAGATATGTATATAGTCGTCCATATACGCAAGCAACAACTGCTAAAACAACCACGATGATCTGAAATAGTTAATTTATACATTCCATTAGTAAATATTTTCTTAAATATAAGAAAATCGTATTATGTCTAAATACATTTCAAAAAGTTATTGCACTTTTATATTTACTAGTGGTCGCCCAGAGGTAGAAATTGAACCGTTTTTAATTAAACTTTTTAATTGTGTATACTAATAAAGCTGTACTTCAGATGATGTATGTATTATCTCTACTTTCAAGTGCACATTATTATATAAAACACAGATATCTATTATACAAAATATAAAATAAACTTTTTGCCTTGACATACAAACAGTCCTTCTTCAATATCCCATACACTATTTGTGAATTACTTAGTTCACACTTCACAGACTATTGAAAAATAACATTAGAACATCAGTAATTATTTTGCTAGCAACATTTTAAAACTCTTTATAGACAATCCCTTTGTGCAACTATTTGTTTGTAGACTACTATGTGTTTAGCAGTTTACGTTGGCAGTATGAACGTGCCAAATCTCACATTCCTCCGGGCGCGTAATAAAAGGGATACAAATGTTTCCTCTTCATGCATTAGTATATAGATTTTTTATTTTTATTTTCTTTCAATTACTTAAAATAAATGAATTCAACCTTATGGCACCACTTTTCTATAGCATCATGAATATATTACGACCAACTTATGTTGAAGAGAAAAGCGCAAAATGTTTGAGGCCGTATGAATATTTTCCGGGAATTAAGCGCCGTTGCCTACTAAACCATTTTTCACCCACATTGTGAAATTCGTCATTTAAACTTATTCTTAATGCTTCGTGCTCCACAATACACTTCTGGCATTGCCTTTGTTTCTGTTCATTTTCCGTCATAACGTTTTTTCTTAGATAAATTTTTTGGATCGCAGACGAAGAGTTCGAAAATTCATCGATGTAATACTCGTAACTAAAACTACTTTGAAAACTATGAATATGTACGCTTCTATATATAGGTTAACAGTTTTTTATAAATATAATAAATGCAATTTGGTTAAAGGTCTTCACAATATTTTTATACTATAATATGTGTAGAAGTAACCAACACTCCATTTTCATTATATGTGGTTTTTTTTATAGGATAAGGGTGACAAACGAGCATACAGTCCACCTGATGGTAAGTGGTTGCCCATAGACATCTACATCTCGATTACAAATCAAAATGCAGATGCATCGTCATCCGTGAGGACTAAGATGAAATGCCTCGGTTCCAGTAAAAAGGGTGTCCAGTTCTCTACACTCACTATACGAAACACAGTAGCGTTAAGCTGCTATTTTACGCTGATATTATGTGAGGGCGTGGGCCTTCCCCAGTCGAGCCAACCCATTGGTGCTACAACTATAGCACTAATATAGCTGCAGCATGGCTCTGCCACGTCAAAAAACGTATCAAGAAATGGTTATAAAATTGCTAAAGTTCGATAATAAAATCGTTGTGAATCTTGATAAGTAGCAAAGATGTTGGCGTAAATAAATTGCATTAAGTTTAATTCCTAAACCCTTCAGCAATAAATAAAACAGTACTACAAATAGGAGGGGAAATAATAAACCTACTTGAATGGCGTAAAATTAATTTCAGAGACTGAATTCGAGAAGTCAATTTCACGTATTTCACGATAGGGAAAAGAACACTTCGCTTAACTCTCAAGAATGTTTTAATAATTGTCTTATGAAATTTGAATTGAATATTTCAAACCAAGGAATTTTATTAATGGGACAGCAAGTTATTTTTTTTAAATAAAATTGAAATGACTGACAAAACAGTTCAACTGATATTATCTACCGACGACAGCCCATGGACAAATTAAAATATAAAAAACAAATTTAAATAAAGAAGGCTATATGCGTTGTCACCTCTGAACATTAAGATGAAATGCCTCAAGACCTGTAATTTTACAGACCCTCTATACCCATTAGACTGGAACACAGCAATGCAAGCACTGCTATTCAAATAAATTAAGAGCTATTTGGCGAAAAAATAGGTAAGAGAGTAGTACCATCCCTGACGGATACTAAGGCCCGTATTAATGAACGTTACTCAGCTCAAGTACACGCACTTGAGTACAATCTTGAGGTCACGATCTTATTAATAATTACATCTCAAGATGCGGTTTAGGTTTACGATATCAGCTGAGTGCCACACTGATTAAAAAACGAAACACGACTCTCAAGTGTGTACTTGAGTACAAGTCACAGAACACTATTCCTAAGAACAGCGTTTTGACATACTGTTTTTATGTGTTTATTAATTAGCCACGACCTTGAGATGCTAATATCGTAATGAGGTGTATCAAATGATTACGCACTTGAGTTCGTCGTTGAGTAACGTTTATTAATACAGGCCTTACTCGTAGACTCAATAAGAGTCCTACCACCTAGTAAAAAAACCTAGAAAAGTTAATAAAACAACATCTGCTTACGTAGTTCTCGCAGGTTCGCGTAATAAGTGTATGACTGATCACAGTGTTAGCGTAACATCGGAAACTACTCGGTTTTAACGAGACAAAGAAGATTTACAAATAAGTTCCCATGAACGCTTTTACTTCCTTGTTACGTTTGATAGAGCATAAGTTTTTATCGTGCCACAAAGAGTTATGAAAACAACTATCGTTCTCTTTATCATTAAGGATCACAAGTCTACTGCTGAACAAAAAGCCTACCCTAAGGAATGCCATAAGGCACAGAAAAAAACTGTATAAAATATAAATTTACTGTTGATTTTTTTAAATAATCGTTGTTATCTAACTGTAACTGTGGTATGGATGGAGTGCAATCGGCTCTACCCTCATCCAACCTGCCCTGCATTCAAATAAGATCACATTCAGCGACTTTTTTCTGCGTATTTCGGCTGCAACACAAATGAATCGACCCGACTGGGGAAGGATCACGAATGCACAAAATAACAGCGTGAAACAGCAGCATAATGCAGTTGTGTTTAGAATTGAGAAAGTTTTTACTGGTAATGAGGCATTCTATTTTATATTTCTATTCTTCTATTCTAGTCCTCAGGAGTTATAACGCATCTACATTTTGCTTCTTAATCTAGGATAGATATGGGTATCTATGGGCTATAGCTTTCCACTGTTTTATCATATGCTGTTTTGTTTTTCACATTTCTATGAAAAAAATAGTTTTAGGACTTTGATTAATTAGGGATTAGATGTTAATTGTGTTCGAGATTATTGAATTTTCTGATTGATAATGCTTTATTAGGTAATTATTTCGTTTACTTTTAAAGAACCAAATTTCTACTTTAAAAGACAATTAAGACATCCAGGAATGAAATATTACGTCGCTATCAACAGGATGGAAGCAGTGAGAAAAATTATGGATAAAATGATTTAAAAAAAATAAATTGAAAGCATGAAATCAGGTAAGGCAACTGTGCTGTGTGCTTTTATTATGCTGGAAACTTGAATACTTTCAATGTCCAATTTTCAGAGATCATAGTAAGATAATAGCAATGAACTCTATGTACAGCGAAAGGGTACATAGAGTTCATTGCTATATTGCAAGTACCAGGAGACTTGCGCAAAACCGTTATAATCCCACTGTATAAGAGAAAAGAATCACAGCAGGGCTGTAAAAGCTAAAGTGGAATCAGCCTGCTCAGCATTGTGAGAAAACTGTGGTCCTCTATGCTGATGTTTTGATTAAAAAAGTTATAAAAGAAACTGAGAGAAAAATTTGATGGATTTAAAAAGTTATTAGGTCTTTAATATGTGCATGATTACAGAGAAGTTTTGGCCAGACAGAAGAACCAGAAAATTTTCAATACATTTATGGATTTGGAAAAGGCTTATGACGGTAGGACTGGGTTGCTTTATGGAAAACACACCTCGTTTGAGTTGTGGATTTTGGCTGAACACTAGCATGGATTGTAGGCATGACATAAATAAAAAACGAAGTATGAATGACGAAAGAGTGAATTAACGCAGAGTAAATAAAGCTCTTCACTGTATTGTGGGAAGTAAAAATTTGTCACAAAAGGTCACGTATGGCTATTCACAATGTTGTGTTAATCTCTACCTTTATATATAGTGATAAAAGTTGTGTAGAACAGAAGAAACATGATAATAGAATTAAATCTGTAAAGATACGGTTATTAAGGAGTATGTTAGTAATGACTCTGAAAGACAGGTTGAGAAATTGTGTGATAAGAGAAGATTGTGGTTTTCAAGAAGTTGTTGTGACCAGGATTAAGATAATAAAGGTTCGGTTTGGTCATGTAGAAAATATTAATGAGGAAAGAGTGAAAAATCAAATCTACATATTATGCTGCAGAAGTGAGTAATAGAGTGGACAAGGGGCGTCGTAGACGAAAGTTTATCGACCAAATTAATTACTAATTATATTAGGTTATCCATATATTGAAGAACGGCCAAATTAAGAGTACCCTTAATCGACGAGCATGTGTGTAAGCACCTATGTGTATATGGACGTGAAGTAGGCGAGGGAGGTGTAACAGTATCGTACCAAATGAAATTTCATTGTCTCTGCCTACCCTTCTGGATAACTGGCGTGACTGTTTATGTAGGTTTTAATGCTGTCATTACCATTGCCATTTTAAATTATAATCATATTCGAATATTATAAATTATAAAACTGCTGATAATTTTTCTGCTTTTTTTTTATAGGATAGGCTGACAAACGAGCACACAGTCCACCTGATGGTAAGTGGTTGCTGTGGCCCATAGACATCTACATTTATCCTCGTTTGCATATCAAAATGCATATGCGTTGTCACTCATGAGGACTAAGAGAGAATGCCTCTTTTGCAATAAAAAGGGTCGCCGATTCTCTACACTCACCATACGAAACACAGCAGTGTTAAGCTGCTATTTTACGCTGGTATTCTGTGAGATCGTCGTCCTTCCCCGGTCGAGACGACCCATTCGTGCTACAACTATACTACTAATATAGCTGAAGCATGGCTCTACGACGTATAAAATCTATAACTAAATCTATATCGATAACTGCCATAATTATTGTCAAATATTAAAAAGCAAAAATTATTTGTAGGCCATGCTTGTTTCGAAACCGTTGCACTTTGGCGCCGCAGTGAAACACTTAGATACTACACTACTGAAATTAAAAAGTAATGTTACAGCCTATATACATCCCACTGCTGGCCACAGGCCTCTCTCTCATTTCTAAGAGGCTTTTTAGGGCAAATAAGTTTCCGCCGCGCTGCCCCAATGCATGTTGGCGAACTTCACATGGCTTCGAAATATTTTTTTTATTTCTCAGACATGCAGGTTTTCTCACAATGTTTTCCTCCACCGTGGTAAATCAGCACTTAAAATTGCAATCTCATTGGTGCTAGCGGCGATCGAACCCGGGTTACTCGCTTACTGTGAAACTTACAGCGAGCGCAAACCATCTGAGCTACCACGGCACTACCGAGCTGCTTTCAAATTATGCATAGGTACCAGTTTGCCCACCAGTTGGAAGAACTTCAAAAGGCCTATAATATATTTCTAATTATTATATCGACGATATAACACGTCACAAGTGTACACGCTTACACATACACATGCACTCAACACTTATTTACATTAAATTACCCATCCGCAATGAAATGCTTTCCAGACACCTTCGGAAGTTGACTAAGATGTCGTGTAGAATACAAAAATGGCACAATGTGTTTTTGTGCCAATGTTGGCACAAAACAGCATTCAATAAAATCTTTGAGTTAGAATCGAACCAACGCCCCACATCTCATTAGTTAATTACTCTAAATATATGCTTAACAAAAACTTAAGCTTACAGCACTTTAAAAAAATTTTAATTACTAAATTGATGAAATCAATTTCTTAGCTACTTTATATTCTATT